GCAAAAAGATAGGGAAATATGCAGGTAAATACAGCTAGTTTTCATTGCTCCATTTTAGCTGTTGCTATTATGTCCTCTCCTCCAATGAGGAATCTTAGTCTGAAGGAGGTTTTAATTTGACAAAGGTACCTAGAAAGTAACTGGCAGTGGTAGGATTAGAAAACGTGTTTCTTGATCTCTAATTTTCAAATTATGACTCTGAGAACAGTGAAATAATTGAGAAGTCATTTGATTAGCCAGGACAAAGATAAGCACGCGCATTGTTACACATTTCAGTGGTTTCCTTTTAATTCTTATTTTTTTGAGACAGGATTTCACTTTGTAGCCCAAATTGGCTTCAAACATACAATCCTCTTAAGTGCTGGGATTACTGGTGTGCACCACTATGCTGGTCATTTTAGTAGAGAAATATTACTTTTTTTTCAAATGTTACCTTCAGATAACATTTTCAAATGTTAACATTTTACTGTGTCTTAATTCAGGCTGCTGTTATTTCTAAATGTTAACATGCTTTCCATATGTCTTCAGGCTCCTACAACAAAATACCATGAACTGGGTGCTTAAGCAATAAACACTTACTTCTCTTACAGTTCTGGTAGCTTGGTAAACCCAAGGTCAAGGTGTGGGCAGTTTAGGTGTTTGGCTTTCCAACAGCTACCCACCCCCCTTTTTTTTTCCTGTGTATATATATGACACAGAAAGAAGGCTCTAATTTCTTACAAGGAACTGGTCCCATCATGACGACGCTACTCTTTTGACCTCTTCTAAACCTAAGGCCCCACCTTTAAATACCATCACATTGGGGAATAGCGCTTTTTAATAAAAATTGGGGAGGAGGAATAAACAAACATTTGGTCCATAATCTATGACATGCAGAAAATAAAACATGTACATTTTATTATATTCTTTGTGTATGTATTGATATGTACATGTATATATATTTTTCTGATCTTGTTGAGAATAAGATTTGGGTAAGATACCCTTCTGATCTAAAATTCTTAAGTGTATATTTCCTAAAAACAAAGACATTATCTTGTGTAATCACAATAAAATCAAAATTGAGATGCCAGTACTGATATTATCTAATTTATAGATCTTAGGTAAATTTTGCCAGTTGTCCCACTAATGTCCTTTCTAACAAAATAATTATTTTCCTGGACCACATTTCACTCCAGGATTATACTGTGTATTTAGCTGTTCACATTTCTAGCTTCCTTTAATCTCATATGGTTCCTCCATCTTTCTTTTTTGTCCTTGACATTGTTGAATAGCATAGGTTGTTTGTTTCCTAGACACTTTTCAAACTACATTTATTGAATGCTTTGTTATGACTAAATTCAGGTTATTATTTATTTTTTGTTAGGGATATCACAGAAATGATGTCTCCTTAGAGTTACATACCAGGATACATGATACCTGTTTGTTCTGTTTCTGTTGATTTAACATTGTTTTCTTGCTAGGAAAAGTTACTAATTTCCTTTTTGTAATTAACTATTTTATGGAGAGATAGTTTGAAACTATAAAATAAAAGGTAAACAACCTTTTTTTTCATCATACCTTTACTTACTAGCTTTATTTTCTACTAATGTTGTCAAATGCTAAGTCCTGAGAGTCCTTCATTCCCTATATACTGCTTAGTTGGGATTCTTCTCTAAAGAGTTTTACCTGCACTCCCACCTCCATGGACCTAGTGGATTATTTTATGGATTAGAATCCATTATCATTATTTTGATGGTCAAACTGTCCCAAATTTGGAAGTGGGTTTTCCTTAAGCTTCCTCCTGTTTCAACTTCTGAATAGTTTTTTTTTTTTTTTTAAAGCATAGCAAGGATTCCTTGTTTTTTTGTTTTCCTTCTCAGAATGGTTGGAAATCAGAATAGGGTATACACACTGCTACAACAGTATTCTTGCTTCTAGACCCTGCTAGAGCCTTTCAGCATACAGAGCTAGGAAATACATGCATGTGGATACATACACACTGATCTATATCTATTTGTGTGTGTATGTATAGTAATTTATATATTGATGCCTACAATTATGGTCCAGTGCCATAGGGTTTTCTAATTTTCCACTTACGTATCTTTGTTCCTTTCTCAAATGATGATGAGTTTGGCTTCTATTGTACTCAAGATATTTACTTACTTGCTCAGTCCTAGAATATATAGTAAGTTTCAGAATTTCTAAATATACCTGTGAAAAAAATTTATTACCTGAAGTTCAGTATTTGTATGTAGTTCTTTTTGCTTTTAGTTTTAGAGCACAGAGTAAAAATCATGTTTTAGAATAGCTGGGTTAGTTCTCTTTTTCCTCTTTAGTATAATTTTGCTATACATTTAAATAATGTCAGGTCTTTTGGGTTTCCATTTGTATTTAACCTCAGGTTCCCCTGTTCTTGTTGATTTTACTTAAAATTTCCCAGAAGTTTTAGAATATGAAATTATACTCATTTCAATCAGAAGTTAAATAGAAAAAATAATGGATGGCTACTTTGATAAATAAGGTTTATTAAAGTAAATGTGGTCCAGTTAATGAATTTTGGTTATGTGGAAGAGACTGCTGTATATACTGTATCCCACTTTACTTTGTTTTTTTACAATTAAATGTTTTATTATTTTTTCTTATGCTTAAAATGTTTCATGTCAGTACACAGAAATGTCTTAATTCTTTCTAAAAGCTGCATGGTATTTCACTGTATGGATTTATCTCATACATTATTCTCTTGGGTTGTTTATAGTCTTCTGCAAAACAAGGATGTAGTATTTATCTTTATACATATACTTTGTGCATCTGTATTATTTTATTGGATCACTTTTAAGTTGAAAAGTAAATTAGTAAATTCCATTTGAAGAGAGGGTATAGATTAGCAGTGATGTTGTAAAAGTTATCTATATGAAGAATGCGATTTTTCTTCTGAGACAGGGTCTTGCTGTATAGTCCAGGCTGGCCTGGAGCTCATGTTCCAACTCCCTCAGCTTCCCAAGTGTTGGGATTATAGTATGATGCACCATGCCTGGCACTGAATAAGGTGATTTTTCTGGTAACTTCCCTGTTTCTAACTATAAAATAACACAACTTTTAAAAATTCTGTTTTTTCAAAAACTACTACTACAACTTAGAGGAGAATTGCTTGTTAGCTGTATGCTTTCCTAAGTCTTGTCTGTGACACCTGGTAACACTGACAATGAAGATTTAAATCTGCTACTGGTGGAACAAAGAAAAGGAAGTAAGATACCTTCTCACTGCTTTAGAACAAAGTCAGCTTTTTATTGTTTGCTATTCATCTCAGACTAACCCTAGCAGGATGTGTCAATGTTAATGTCTATATACTATGGGCGTGTGGTAGTAATAAGAGTATCTGAAATACTTGAACTTCTTATCCATAGTAAGATCAGATTATTTTACTACTTCATGTATTACCTAAATAGTTAACAAAGCTGTTAGATACCTAAGTTACAGTTACAGATTTTTCAGCTCTATTTAACTCTCCTGCTGGGCTTACATTTTTACTGCCTCTTTGTATCCATACTATAATGGGTTCAGGGTTTAGGGAAGGAGTAAGTATGATGGCTATTTTTGTCTCCAAATTGATGTTATCATTGGTTTTTATAACTCAACCCCTCAATCTTAAGTGAGTTAATTATATAAAACTTGGCAGATAATAAGAAATTTATAAATTTCTTAAGTTCATGAATAACTTCTGCTGTGTTCCATTTTGCACAGTGCCTTGGTAACCTAGCCAAGGATTTTCTGCCTGGTAGTTCTCAGCAGATCAAGAGCTGGAAGAATGAGGCCTACTCTTGGTCAGAAATTGGTTTCAGCCCAGAGGTAGGAAATTTAGATGGGGAGGCAGTGGATCAATCTGCAATCAACATGGAGCTTCAGGATTTATTCAGATAGCAAAAGGTTGTACATAGATTCCACTCCAATGATAAAAATCAGAATGTTCCAACAGGAAATTTAATAGAAGACTACATATAAAAAATAGCTGTAAGCTTTTTTTTGGTGTGGTACTGGGGATTGAACTCAGGGCCTTGTACTTGCTAGGCAGGCACTCAGAGGGGAGCTGTGCCCTCCCCCCAGTTCTTTTGGTTTTAGTTTGTAAACAGAGATAGGGTCTTGAGTTTTAACTTTACTGGGTTGGCCATGAACTGTGTGTGGTCCTTCTTTGACTCCCCCACTTGCTGGGATACAGGCAAGCATGGCAAAGGATTTTTGTTTTTTTTAATGGGTTGTATCTACCAGCAATTCTGTCTCCTGGTATCTTGTTTCTTACTATATACTTAAAAACACTGGAGCTTTGACTGTAGATAGATAGTGGTAAATCTAGTTATTCTCTTATTTTTCTAAATAATTATAATTTTTAAATGGGAATGGTGTCATTGGTATATTTCTATTAAAAATCTGTAATAGTTGGATATTATTTTAAAAAGTGTACCAGATTACATCAGCGGACTTATCACAATATAGCTGTCCTATGTAAGGAAGTCTTATTACAAGAATGGTCTTTAAGCTGGGTGCCAATGGCTCATACCTATAATCTAACTTACTCAGGAGGCAGAGTTCAGAGGACTGCAGTTTGAGGCTAGCATGGGCAAATAGTTGACAAGACCCCATCTCGAAAATACCCAACACAAAAAAGGGCTGGTGGAGGGCTTAAGTGATAGAGCGCCTACCTAGTATAAAGTCCTGAGGTCAAAACCCCAGTACCGCAAAAAGAAAAAAGAATGCACTTTAAGCTGGGCATGGTGGTATATGCCTATAATGCCAGCACTCAGGAACAGAGGCAGAAGGATTACAAGTTGGAGGCCAGTTTAGGCTACACAGTAAGATCCTGCCTCAAAAACAAAGGTCTGGGGAATGTTACTCGGTGGTAGTGTACTTGCCCAGCATGCATAAGTCTCTGGGTTTGATCCCCAGCATTGCAAAAAATAAACCAAACTAAGAATGCTCTTAATTATCTGCCTCACCACCCTCTCATCTCCCCGCTTTTGTTTTCAAAGAGAAACTGGTAGTTTGGGTAAATTCAAGGCATCTTTAAGTGAAAATGTCTTGGGGAGCCCCAAGGAGCTGATGAAGCTAAGTGTGCCTTCGTTAGTGTATGCTGTTCAGAACAACATGGCTTTCCTAGCTCTTAGCAATCTGGATGCAGCAGTGTATCAGGTAAGTGGCATTAATAATAATAAAAAGCTCTGAATTTTAAAAACGTTTTTATGGAGAAAAAATTTTTAATTTTTTACTGGCATCAAGTATTTTTCTCAGCTCCGTTAATAATATCAGAAAGAATCTAATTGTATTAGAGACTAATATCAGCTGAATTTATTAATTCATTTGTTTCTAGGTGACCTACCAATTGAAGATCCCTTGTACTGCTTTATGTACTGTTTTAATGTTAAACCGGACACTCAGCAAATTGCAGTGGATTTCAGTTTTTATGCTGTGTGGTGGAGTCACACTAGTACAGTGGAAACCAGCCCAAGCTACAAAAGTGGTGGTAAGAAATAAAATGCATACCATAAATAAAATAGGAACCATCCTATCTTATACACTTTAGGCTTGTACATTTCAGACCAGTCACACTGATGATTTCTTTGATTTAAGATGCACTTGTCATATACATAGGCATTATGTAATTACTAGGATAATATTCACTGGCTTTGTTTCTTAAACAAAAGTAGTAAAACATATCAGAGATGAAGTTACCCAACCTCCTTTGTTTTACAGGTGACAAAACTGAAGTCCAAAAAGGTGAAGTAACTAGTCCAAAGATAGTTAATAGCTAAGTTGTGGCTAAAACTGTGCCAGCTTCCACAGTGTACACGATCAGAACTTCTAGATTTTTGACATTTCAGAAATTCTGGGCAAGATTTATTCCATCTAGTTTTCATTCTCCTCAACTCAGTCTCTTATCCTTTGGCACATATTCCTGTTGTCAGCAGTAGGAATGACCAGGGAGGAATGTTCTGAGCACTAATAATAAAAACAGGACAAAAAAACCAAAAAACAAAAAACCTTTTCCTTAAAGGTATCAAGAGTGTATTTTAAGGTACATATCTTATTTTATAAAATACTATATGCTTCAACAAGTCATTTCCCCAAACAGAAGCAGGAAGCAAAACTCTAGTGAATGATTTTCTGAAGGTCAGCGGTTTCCCTGTATAATGAATATTCTCCTCAATTTTTAGCAAATGGACTATGTTTCTTTTAGGAATAGAAGGCAGCTGGGAATGTACACAGAACTGGTAAAAGTAGGAAGCCTTCCTTTTATTAATTACTCTGTAGCTTGGTAGAATTTCAGAAAATGAATTTAGATTAGTAGTTGTTGCCTTCAGATGATGTGGAAGCATGCTTATATATCTGGTGACATTTTAAAACATTTATCAAATATACAACTACACATTTGACTCACCTGTAGAACTTCAGAGAAATAATTATTTGGGAAGACAAGCATGCTAAATGTGAATTTTAAGTAGTATCTTGTCATTAGAAAAGGTGTTCGGTCCACCTTCATAGGTAATATGTTTAAAAGCTGTTAACTAAAGCACAGTACAGGGCTGATTACTCTACTTTGGGCCATTCTAGCAAGCTGCAGAATGCAGCTTCCTGTAAATATCTTTCATTCTTCTTCATTCTTGTTACAATAACTCAGATCCCTACTAACTCCATACGATGAGCTTGTGAATGTTTGAGGATAATGTCACAATCTGGCTCTGCAGGTTCCACCCCCCCCCCATTTAAGTAACACTATTGTTATTTCCCATGGTATGGTTTCTAGACAGAACCTTCCAGACTCTGCCTTCTGCACCAACACTGCCAGTGTCTCTTGTAGATACATTGGTCTGTCATTGTTTCTCAGTGTTCTGAAACTTCTATTTCTGGATGCTGTCCTAGTGGGTTTGACTGAGGTATAGGTTGATGATTAGCCCCTTTGTTCTGAATTTTTTGGGGGAGCAGGGTGTCCATTTTATAATTGACTATACAGTTTATGTAGGCGTGTCAAATAGTTTGACATATTCGAATGTCCTGTGTAGTGGGTTTATTCTAAACTGCAGTGCAAGATGTGTTTGTATTTATGAAGCTCATCTTGTTAGCATTGGGTCATTGCTCAGCTGCTTGAGTTCTTTCCAGTTTCTTATCCATTGTTTGCTGTCCTTTGAGTATTATGCTTTGTAGAGTGGACAGATGTCTTCTGGGTATTCAATTCTGTGGCTGTAGCATGTAAATTCTCTCTCTAGCTTGATTTGTTTTTTTTTATTGTTTTATTATTCGTATGTGCATACAAGGCTTGGGTCATTTCTCCCCCCTGTCCCCACCCCCTCCCTTACCACCCACTCCGCCCCCTCCCTCTCCCCCCACCCCCTCAATACCCAGCAGAAACTATTTTGCCCTTATCTCTAATTTTGTTGTAGAGAGAGTATAAGCAATAATAGGAAGGAACAAGGGTTTTTGCTGGTTGAGATAAGGATAGCTATACATGGAGTTGACTCACATTGATTTCCTGTGCGTGGGTGTTACCTTCTAGGTTAATTCTTTTTGATCTCACCTTTTCTCTAGTTCCTGGTCCCCTTTTCCTATTGGCCTCAGTTGCTTTTAAGGTATCTGCTTTAGTTTCTCTGTGTTAAGGGCAACAAATGCTAGCTAATTTTTTAGGTGTCTTACCTGTCCTCACCCCTCCCTTGTGTGCTCTCGCTTTTATCATGTGCTCAAAGTCCAATCCCCTTGTTGTGTTTGCCCTTGATCTAATGTCCACATATGAGGGAGAACATACGATTTTTGGTCTTTTGGGCCAGGCTAACCTCACTCAGAATGATGTTCTCCAATTCCATCCATTTGCCAGTGAATGATAACATTTCGTTCTTCTTCATGGCTGCATAAAATTCCATTGTGTATAGATAGCACATTTTCTTAATCCATTCGTCAGTGGTGGGACATCTTGGCTGTTTCCATAACTTGGCTATTCATTTGTTGTTTTTGTGAAACAGGTCTTGGTACATAGTCTAGGTTAGCCTAGAACTCACTATTGTAGCCAAGACTGGCTTTAAACTTGTGAGCCTCTTGCTTCAGTCTCTCAAATACTGGGATTAACAGGCATGCACCAGTGTACCTAGTTTGATTTTTTTTTTTCTTGCTTACTAAAACATTATCTCTCAACAATTTCTATGGGTCAGGTATTTGAAGTTAGGTGGTTCTAGCTGTAGTTCTCTTATAAGGTTGCAGTGAAGCTACTGGTTAAGTCTGTAGTAATCAGAGGCTTGATTGGGGGTGGAGGATCTGTTTCTATGTTGGTTCATTTATATGCCTGGCATGTTAGTGCTGGTTGCTGGTCTAGCTTGATTTTGTTCTGTTAACTAGCATACTTCTATATGAGCATGTATTGTACCTTTTTTTCATTAACAAAGGTGAATTTTACTGAAATTTAACCACTTGCTGGGCCCTTTCTTGCTACTTGTGTTTTATTTTGATCCCATTCAAGTGTCTCATTTTTATTCTTTCTTAATGTGGTTGGATTATGGTTTGTCCCCTCTGAAACTCTTACTGAAATTTGACTTAGATCATGGTGGTATCGGGAGGTGGAAGCTTTAAGAGGTGATTATTTCGCTAAGGGGGATTAATGCCTTTCTTGAAGGAGTGGGTTTATTTTCTTGGGAGCAGATTGTTATGAAGTGATGCTGCCTGTTGTGTTCTCTCTGGCATACACCTGTTGTCCTGCTCTGCCCTCATTGTACTGTCATCCTCACTACATTTCTATCTTGTCCACAGAGTTACTATGCAAATCTGTCAGAATCTCTATGGAATTCCCTTATTACTTAACTCTAGGAATCCTTTCAGTAAGGAAATGTGGTATGTTCTACTCTTTGAGAAGCCACACTATTTTCCATTGATAACTATTAAACTTAAGTGCTTCAAATAATCAGGAAGTCTGTTCTAAAATTTCACTGGTAATCAATATAATAACTATAATCAATACTAGCATTACTCTGAGTGCTGTGCATATGTTAACTCACTGACTTTTTGTGATAAAGAGACTTCAATTTAGTTTATTTAGGTAGGTATTATAATAGCAAATCAGATGTCTTGGACATCAGTTTTCTTAAATATGTTTATAATTTTAAAATCATTCACAAATAAAATAGAAACTAGCTTTGGGTAATTTTATTTTCTTGTTATCTAACAGTGTATTATCTAATTCAAAAATTATACTTCTCTTCAAGAATACTTTTTTTTCTTTTATTCATATATGCGTACAATGCAAGAATACTTTTAATGTTTTATTTTTGCAAGCCTCTGCTTATTCTTGAGTTTTCAGTTTCTTGATATTATTTTTAAATGCCTGTTTGCATTGTTTTTATGATCTGTAAGTTCAGTACCCTTAATTAATCATGTTCATTTCTTTTTAAGGCTGATTTCTTCTTCTTCTTTTTTTTTTTTTGTCTTTTTTTGGTGGTACTAGGGTTTGAACTCAGAGCCTCTTACCTTCTAGGCAAGAGGTCTGCTTACTTAAATCACACCCCCTTTATGTGTTCTTTTCACAAGAACCTCACAAGAACCTCATTCTTAGAACCTCTTAATCCCTCTTGAAGCTCTTTCACTAGTCATGGAATAACTAAGCTAATTGAACTTTATCTTTTTTGAATTTTGATTTATTCAAGATTGGTGCACATGTCTCTTAACTGTGCTGTGTCTGGCTGTCACTCATGCTGAGATGACATTCCTGCTTCTTCCTAAATTTCCATCATGTTCACTTCACCAGCCATCAGTTTCTCATCAGAGTTAAGCCCAGTGAAGCAGTTTCCATCACTGTTTTTCTTACCTGTATAGATTGGGTTGGCTTTAGCTCAAGCAGTTACTTTCTCATGCTGGACTTTCAGCCTAACTGTATAGATTAAACTGACAGGAAAGCAAGTCAGAAATTTACTTGACTCTATTTTTAGCAGTATGGTAATATCACACACTATGATTTTTTCATATCTATACTCATCTTGTAATTTGTAATAGGAAAGCATCCATATTAATCAGTTTAGTCTATAGTGTAGCAGTGGCTCTTAAATTTTTATATACATCAGAAGCAACTTAAAACAGATTACTGGGACCATCCCCATAGTTTATGATTCAGTAGATCTGGAGTAGGGCCTGACAATTTTCATTTCTAATAAATTCCTAGGTGATGAAGCTGTTGCTGGTCCAGGGACCATATTTTGAGAACTACTGGTCTACAATGTCTTCTGTTTCTCCTTTTATCTTCATACAAACATTTTAGACCAAGCTTTCTCTCTCAGGTACTTACTCTCCTTACATTAGGCTTATTTATTTTGAACAAGATATATGCATCCTTATTAAAATGTAGTCTTGAATCTTAACACTCTAATTTCAGTGATACAATTGAGATAATACCTATCTCTTAGGAAAGGCAGATGAAAGCTTCCATGGGTTAGTTTAGGGAAGAAAGAGAAAATAAAGTTGAAACTGTAGATTGGGGCTCCAGATACATGCTTATGTTGGCACTTGTCTCAAAGTATTATGATTATATATACTTACAGTTCTCTTCTATACATGAAACTATTTCAGAACTGCTTATCATCACCTTCTTTATTACTCAGTATATAGCAAAGATTCTGGTAAACACAAGGTATACTATAAATATTTGATAAAAATTAAAGTGGGGATACTCAAATGCTAGCAATTCATCCTGTAGGTGATGGGAAATAAGTAAGTCCAACAGTTACCATTTTGAAGACTGATGCTATAAGGGTTTCAATTAGGGTGGTGGCAGAAATTAATATTAAGAAGCAGATGAACTATGCAAAATTGTGTGCCAGAGTACGTACTACTATTAGGAAATAGGTATACATGTTATACTTTGCATATGCTATGTGGTTTGAGGTACACATTTTCAATTTAAGTGTTCTGGTTAATTTCTAGATTGATCTTTTTATTTTGTTTGGTCCTATCTTATTCTATAGACTAGCTGTGTTTGATATGAAGTTTACTTTTAGTAGAACTATAACAGTTTCTTGTGTTCGTTTGTTTGGACTGTTGGGTGAATTGTACTTGTTAGTCACTGAAAATAACTTTAAAAATTAATATTGCAGGTGGAACAGAATCCATTATTAGGGTTTGGTGCAATAGCTATTGCTGTATTATGCTCAGGATTTGCAGGTATGTTGTGAAAGCATTTTATCCTGCTGTCACATTTTTTTTGAAAACATTAATGGATTTAGCTTATCTTGCTTTAGCCTGACAGTATTTTCCATTAAAACTTTATCTTCTTACTTACTGTTTTGTGTCAGCTATTGTGTGAGAATACACTTCTGTCATCCTTGACCATCTCAGTCCAGTCAAGAACCCAAAAGTAAATGAAAAAAGACCTCTGCAAATGGAGGAAATTAGCCTTCAGAAAGCGCATTATGTCTTTCCATTGTTCTGGAACTGGCATTGTCCTGAGGCTAGCCTCTGCTGCTGTAGGTGGTTAATGTTACCAGCTGTGTGTCTGTTTTGCCCTACAACCTCAAGTTCTTCCTCTTCTTCAGCAGACTGAGAGCTGTGGAATAGAAAGAGGAGGTGGGTGCAGTTGTACCTCTCCAAAAACGGAAAGGAACATAAAATCACTAATATCGACAACCAGGGAAGTCTGGGATCACATGTATAGACAGTCACTCTGCTAATGGATCAAATAAAGACAAGAAGTATGAATATTCCCAGCTGTGGTGGTGCACTGCTGTAATTCCAGCTACTCAGGAAGCAGAGGCAGAAATCTCAAAGTTAACAAGACCCTATCTTAAAACAAAGTTTTAAAGCAAAAGGACTGGGGGTTGGGGGCATGGGTTAAGAGAAAGAGTGCTGCTGGGCGCTGGTGGCTCACACCTGTAATCCTAGCTACTCAGGATGCAGAGATCAGGAGAATAGCAGTTCGAAGCCAGCCCAGGCAAATAGTTCTGTAAGACCCTATCTTGAAAAACCCTTCACAAAAACAGGGCTGGTGGAGTGGCTCAAGGTTAAGGCCCTGAGTTCAAGCCCCAGTACTGAAAAAAAAAGTAGAGTGCTTGTTTGTGAGGCTCTTAGTTCAGTCCCTAGTACTGGAGAAAAAAAAAAAATAGTACGAATGTTAATGTGTATTAGTGTAATGTAAGAAATTGTTTTAGAAATAGTTCCAGCAGGGATGAAATTTAGAGCTCTTTCTTAGTAAAGAATATATTAGATAGAACTATATGTTTATCATTTATCTTTATTTTACATGTTTTAAGAGTTAGGATTATTTTTATTTTTTTATTTTAGGAAAACAGGATATGGAAATAAAATATAGCTTATAAATAAAATGTTTCAAAAGAAACAGGAAAATCTGAATTTAGGAATATACTTAATTAACCACAGTATGCTAAAATTTTATTCTTAGGAGACAAAAAAATTAGGAACAAAAATTGAGACACCCCTAAATATACTTTTGATTTTGAACAATATTTTTGGACAATTAAATGTTTACATCTGACATTGTATTTACATTCAGCCTCTCTATAAACAAAATCAAAGGTGAAAGTAAGAACAGCCATTTTATGTTTATTTCCATTGTCTGGCTATTTAAAAACAATCTTGTTGTTTATTGGACTTTTTAGTTGATGAATATCATAGTACCAATTAGTAAGTTTCCAATGTGGTACTGATAACTAAAATCTTTAATGTCCTTGTTAAACATGCATTCATTTACAGTAGTGGTATGTGACTTTTTGGGGAGTCCTGTATTCCTTTGGATTATCTGGAAAAAAAGTCTATAGTCTATAGTCTCACAACCTCAGAAAAATGCACATCCAAAATTTATTACCTAGTTAAGAGTTCATGGTCCTTCTGAAAAGGAAAATGGCTTCACTCAGCGCAAGTTGTAGTGAATTGTTTTTTAGTTGTGCCACTTGGAAAAGACTCCCAGTGGTGAATTTGTAGGTTATTTTGCAAAGTTAGGAGTATTCATTACCAGGCAGATATTACAGTAGTATGATTTAGATAATTCATTCCATGAATTGTTTTTCAGATGACCAAAGCAAGTATTTTATTGGCATTTGTGACCTCAAGGGAGTAGTAGACAGCTTTTGTGACTTCAAGGGAGAAACTGTTCTTAACAATAATTAACAACCTCTTGTCAAAAGTAGCATATGAAGTTCCTTCTTGGTTATTAATATGTGTGCTCTGTAAAAGTGCAAATTGGTGATGTTCATTTTATCATGTGTCAAAAACCTACATAATGTATATTTCACTAATGTTACGTATGCTTATTTCCCAAATCATATGCTTTACATATCTTCAGGGTTCTTTGTAAATGAAAAACACTTAAAATTAATTTATAATAATATATTTAGTATTGTCATGTCTTATTTTCTTTCAGGAGTGTATTTTGAAAAAGTCTTAAAGAGTTCAGACACTTCCCTTTGGGTTAGAAACATTCAAATGTACCTATCAGGGATTATTGTGACATTAGTTGGCGCCTACTTGTCAGATGGAGCTGAAATTAAAGACAAAGGATTTTTCTATGGTTACACATATTATGTCTGGTTTGTCATTTGTAAGTATCTAGGAATTAAAGATTCTAAGTAGATCCTTACTTTTTTTTTTAAGTTAGATGTCTGTTTTAAGCCTTTATAGCATTTTGAAATTATTCCTTTGATACTGTGAGTACCACTTTGAAAATGTAATTTTGGTTTTATTGACTTACTTTTGTGGCATAGCTATCCCAAAGCAATTTTGCCTTCACCATCAAAAGAATCTCATGTGCTAGCAATAAATGCATAAAATTTAGTAGGACCACATAGCCCTTTGGGCATTTTAGAAACAAAGTTAAGTAGGAATTACTACTCAATTTTAGTAGATTTTCATTTGACTGCTACTAAGGAAAATAGTGTTTTCCTTTTCCTAGCTAAATTAGCGTGGCATCTCTAGGGATGAAAATTACCTCACTATTATGCAGTGTTTCATTTATTTGAGTATTAAGATTTTATTTCTTTGTATTTCAAGTTCTTGCAAGTGTTGGAGGCCTGTACACTTCTGTTGTGGTCAAGTACACAGACAACATCATGAAAGGCTTTTCTGCAGCAGCTGCTATTGTCCTTTCTACCATTGCTTCAGTGATACTATTTGGATTACAGATAAGTATGTCGTGGTTTGTATTAAATCCACTGTTGACATGGGAGAGGCTATCACTTCCATGATTTATTTTACCTTTTGTAAAAGGGGCAGTTGCCACAGTGTTTATAGAAATTCCGAATTTTGTTACCATAATTTATTCTACAAGTGCGGCAGTCCGTGGTTGTATGGAATGTAAGCTGTCCTTAGGCTGCTTAGATGGTTCTAGAGCTTAAGCTGAGGGGTGCTGGTTGTATGTGAAAGTGAGGGGGCTACTTGGCTACTACAAGGAACTTTTCCGTAGTCAAGACCTCCCTGTTCCTGAAATACTAAATATAAGATGACTTGAGTGAGTAGGGGGAACAAGTGGCCTTCCATGTCTAGGTTCTGTATCCCTAGATTCAACCAATCATGGATGGAAAATATTTGGGAAAAAATTGTGTACAGACCTTTTCTTCTTATCAGTGTTCCCTTATAACTAGTTATATAATTAGCATTTATATTGTATTAGGTATTATAAATAACCTATGCCTATGAATGCTTTTGAGTATACAGGAGGATGTGCATAAGGTATGTACAAATGCTGTGCCATTTTATACATGAGATCTCAGCATCTGCAGGTTTTGAAACCTGGGGGACCTGGAACCAATTCTCCATGGATACTCAGGGACCACTGTAGTACAACTAGGTGTTCAGGGAGAAAGAAACAAAAGTTGAGGAATTGATTACTTTCAGCAGTGGAATTAAAACTATAAAGACTTACTCTAAGGAAAGTAGGAAAAAAAATACCTCCTCTCCCTCTTTAGCTTGTATGGTCTTGTTGTGTACTTAGTTGGGTAGAAATTGGTTTTGGAAATATAATTCAAATGTAGACTTTCTTTCGTATTTTCTAAAGATAGGTGTCTTTGTTTTAGGGTGCTTTTAAGCTATATAAGTCATTTTCCTCACTGACCAGTTATTATACCATAAAATAACACAAGCAGAAAATCTGTTAAATGTCTGCATTAAATAAAAGAAGTAAACCTGGCCTGTATTACATTGTATTTTAGAATTGACTTTTGTTATAAATGCAAACAGAGGAACACCAATATTGCAGAAAACTTAGAAAACCATTTTATAGTATGGTTCAAATTCTGCCTGTACTATTTATAAGCTGTGAAGCCCTGGGAAAGTTATATAACTTGTGTCTCAGGTGACTGATTTCCTAGGGTTGTTGTCAGGTGATGTGATTAGAATAGTGCCTGGCACATAGTAAAGAAACTTTATAAGGCTAACCACTTACCATGTCACTGTTGGTGACTTTCCCTTTTTCTTACTTGATTTGGGTGAACTTTTAATTACAGTTCTGATCCATCCTTGTGTTCAACATAATCCTTTTGTCTTTGTTCCTAAGGAAAATTTGGTAACAGTATAAAGTGCTTTTGGTCAGTGTGGTCTTAGCAATCTTTCAGTTAACTATTTAGATGTAAACTGCCCCACCCCCTTTGGAGTCAAAGCTGGTGTTTTCTAGTTAAGAGTGAACTAATATTGTAGTTTGATATAGTTTCTCTGCAATAGAGTGTCCTATTGTAGACTATATTGAATATGCTTCAGCTTTTTTCTTTTTTTGTGATACTGTGCCTGACACTTGCTAGGTAGGTGCTGTACCTCTTGAGCCACTCCACCAGCCTTTCTTGTGTTGGTATTTTGAAATACCAATAGGGTCTCCCTTTTTGCCCAGGCTGGCCTTGAACTAAAGTCCTCCTCATCTCTACCCTGAGTAGCTTGGATTACAGGTGTGAGCCACGATCATCCAGCCATGCTTCAGTTTTAAACAGAATATACAGATTTGACATAAGCATTTATTTATATAATGGCTACGAGTCAGATTTAAACAAGATGTAATTCAGTTTATTGTATCCTCATTTTCAGAATTAAGATGAAAAAAAGGTTAAGTGCAGCAGCATGTGTAATTTTATACAGTAAATCACCCCTCATCTCATATTCAGAAATTTCCAATGGTCTTGCTCAACTATCTTTTACTCTGAGCTTTCACAGGTTTCTGTGAAAGTGGAAAAGCTACATCTGCATTTTCTTTTGTATCCATATAGTTTTATATTATTTACACAGTTCCTTTAAATTTATTTATCTTATGGAGAAGCTGTTATGCTCTTTGTAACAATAGTCCAAGATAGCCATAATTGTATATGTATGTATGTAATTTTTGTACTTTTTTATTTTGGTGGAACTGGGTTTGGACTCAGGAATTTGCACTTGAAAAACAGACACTCTACGACTTGAGCCACAAAAACAGACACTCTACGACTTGAGCCACACTTTCAGTCCATTCTGCTCTGGTTATTTTGGAGATGGGATTCTTGGAAACTATTTGCTTAGGCTGACCTTGAACCATGATCCTCCTTATCTTACCCTCCCATGTAGTTAGCATTACAGGCATAAGTCATAATAATGTTCTTGAAAAGTATGCATTCAGTGATCATTGATCATCATTCCCTTGATTTTACCTTTTTCATTTTGGTAGAATGGATAACTTTTCTAAATCTTACCATCATAAAACAGAACATTAACTTTTATTTATTTTTCTTATGACCTGATAGTGTAAACCTACCATTAAAAATTTTTTAAAAACTTAAAGCTAATCATTGTTAGAGAATTTCAAGGGTATAAATACAGATTAAACTTATTTTTTTCCTTTCTCCAGCACTCACCTTTGCTCTGGGAACCCTTCTCGTCTGTGTTTCCATATACCTCTATGGATTACCCAGACAAGACACTACATCCATCCAACAAGGAGAACCAGCTTCAAAAGAGAGAATCATTGGTGTGTGATTTGGAGCCTCAAGTGATTCCTGCTGTGACTGAACTATTGCATTAAACTAGAGCCTTAAGTCAATCCCAGAAGGTAGCTTAAACAAATAACAATAATAAATGAACTGTATAGCATAAAAATCAAGAAGGATACAGAGATTCAGTGTGGGCCTGTTTAGGGCCAAGCTGTATTATTTTAGAAGAAGCAATTTTATTATGTGTATGTGTGTATATATACATATATATATGTGTGTGTGTGTATATATATATGTATACATATATATATATAACGTACACACACACATATATATATATATATAATGTACATAAAAAAGTGTGGAGATGATAGGATATTTAAGAAATCATTCAAAACTACAATATTCAAGTAACAAGGTTTGGGACAATGTTTAAGAGTTAAAGTGCCAAAGCCATTTCTGTACTAACTGTTCTCTTGTTCAGGTACTGGTGGGGGAGGACAATCCCTCCTTATTCTCCAATTTCATGTACAGTATTTTGTCCCAGTAGCAGCAAAGACCTAGCTCTTTTTTTTTTTAATAAAAGAGGAAGAAACAAGGCAGGCTAGTTCAGAAACAAACTGAATGTGTAGATTCTCACACTGAATCTACTTCATAACTTGGAAAATGATTTCTGGGTGGTGACTGGGTGGTGACTGAGAACCTGTAGTGCAGTATTTGTGCCATTCACTGTCTGAGTCATATTTCTTTGCTGTTAGATGACAAAATTTAGTAGACAAAAATTTCTACTGTCACTTTTCTACTTTTTTTTTAATATAAAGTATGGTTAACTGTTGGGCTCTCAATAACTTGTGAAATTGCAGTGTTTTTTAAAAAAAATTCTATAGTGTTAATGGGGAAATTCAGCAATAAACCTAATTTATTTGTACCAGCTCTGTTTCATCACTTATTTATGAATATAATTCATTAAGATAATGCAAAAGCATAAAAATTTGAAATGTTATTCTTTTTTTCTATGTGTGGAACTGTATCAAACTAGGTTCTTTCTTTGCACATAACCGCTACAACCCAATTTTCGTAAGCCTTAAGTCAAGAAAGGAATTTATAAGGACTGCAGTTGGGCTACAGGACTCTAGGTTGTTGGAATTAATGAGCAATCTTTCTAGGGAGCTGTTTTGTGAAGACTTGATTCTAATATTACTGTCCCTCTATCATTTCACTCAAGATGGAATTACTTAGGAGTCTACAATTTCTCCTAAGTACTGGAGAGTGATACTGGACATGTAAAACATATCCTGAGTCTACATTTTTATTCTGTGGTAAAGAAATTCTAATGCTACTTTAAATAGAAAATTAGCAATCTGGAAGCTAATTTGATTAAGATTAAGAATGAATACAAGGATGAGTCTTTTCTAGGACTAAGAAGATAAACAATTCTTGCCAATGCAAAATAATGTTTATTCCAACTGGAGAAGCTTTGGTTCATTCTAATTTGTCTTTCTGTAAAACTAGATGGCCACTGGCACTCAGTCTATTTCTATTGGCAACATAAGAATAAATTGTAGCAAGGTCTGAATGGAGACATAGGCAAAGGATGGCCATGCTGATCAAGAATATCAATCACATCTCACTCATTTTCCTAAACCAAGCCCATATTATCCAGTCACCCAAAATATACCTTAACAATATGCAGAAGCTTAAAACCTCCATTTCAATGGTTTAACTAATGGACCACATTTTATAAAAAGATCCTAAATGCAACGTACAAGTAATACCTTGCTATTCAAATATATTCAGTCCCTGAGTTGATTTAGGAATTTACTGGTATATATCAGCAAAAAGGCTTATTTTTAATCTTATATTTGTTCATAATTAGCCACGATTAAAAGAAAATTAGGATCCACCTACCCTCCCTTTCACCATTTGATAAAAAACAGTGGATCATCTCAGTAACGAGATGAGTTTATGGAAGAATGACACTAAGAGATCTCAAGGCAGAGTTTAAATTCTGAATTCTTTACCCCCATTAGACAATAATGTTGAGTTTAAGAAGATTTAACCTAGCTTTTCAAATGTCTAATTAGTGCCTATTGACAATGAGGGAACTCACATGATTTGTTTTTAAGGATAAAAATTATATTTTGGTACAGAATGAAGCTCAAATTTTATTATGAACAAGACATGTAAGAACAAATAATTAGATTCATTTAGCACTTAAAAAAGCCATTTCAATTAGAAATTACATCCTACATACAGGTATTATTCCAAGAAGTTTCATTCCATTGGCTAGGACAGCACGAACAGCTTTGAAAAGATGAAGTCTGGCCTACAAAATAAAGAATGATTAAATGTTCCATTCAATATTAAGGCTAGCTGTAAGTAAATAAGAATGATCTTATAAGTAATTCTTCTAATTTAAAGTAGGAACAATGTCTCAAAGTGCCTTAGAGTTTATGGTAGGCAAGGGAAAATACATTGTAGCATCCCTTACACTAAAACTGGTATAGAAAGGGGTGTGGAGTGGGAGTGGCAGAATTTATCCCTCAAACATCTGATGTAGGGAAATGTGTTTCAGTCTAGTATTTTGGAAAGTATATAAACACTAATTGTCATTGGCAGTTGTAATCATTATCTGAGTTAGTAAGTATATTGCTGGAGTTAAAACAACACTTTCAGAAAAATTTACAAGATTGTTATTACTAATCTTTGTAATATTAGTCTGAGACCGCTAAGGATTATAAAGAAAACATTCAACATAGCATACCCCAGCCACGTCAGGAGGACTGTCTTTTATTTGGAGTGTTTTGTGTGCCACAGCTGCAAGATGACTGAAACCGAAAGAGATCATGAGGGCCAGTGGTTAATTTCCTGTGTAACAAATGAGCTTGATCTTTCATTTTGCTCACTCAACTTAAAAATAAATCAAGGCTTAGAATCACTAAAGAAGGTATCCAAAGTTATAAAGTTGAGACTGCAATTCACTCCTTTTCTAAAACTGAGCTCAAACTTTGGATTTGGTTCTACTACCAAGTGGCAGATTCTTAAGATTCCAATTTTACAAATGTAGATAGATACACTTTACAAATATAGGTCACTCCTTTCTAACAATTCATTTTTTCTTATTTAGACAGCCTTTACAACTAAAGGTATAATATGGCCTGGCCTTTTCCCCTCTGTAGAGTGAGGAGGTGGGATAGAGACTAGCTGTCAATCTACTCTGCACACATACTGGCCGCTTTCTTAAAGCACCTGTTCCATTGAAGTAGGGCAACAAGTAGAACAATGTGCCAAAGAAATGATGCCCAGGAGATTCCTTTAGTGAGCGACATTTCGTAGGATTTTCTGACTTCTTTACCTCTATAGGTCTAAGTAGAATTTAAAGAAAAAAAATCTTACTTACATCTGAGGGAGTTAGAGTAAGAAGTATAATCAAGGAAACAGTCCCAGGCTGACAGTGGCTCAAGTGGTAGAGCACCTGCCTAGCAAGCATGTGGCCCTGAGTTCAAACTCCAGTGCCATCAAAAAAGCAAAAACAGTCCCACCCATGACCTTTCAGTCTTAGAAGTTCCAAATTAGGTGATTATTTGGACATAGTGATTACTTCTCCAAATCAGATACCACCTTCTTCAGGGTGTATGAGACCATATTAAATTCTACTTACTCTCTCAAATTTATCAGCCAGTTATGTAAACTAAACTTAAGGGAAAACAGTCTCAGTAAGTCTCTGATTTCAGTACATTTTTAATAAAAGGAAAATTTCCTTTCTTAACCTTTATGGGAAGATACAACTACTGTTAGTAGACTCAAACTGCTATTCAAAGCTTTTAAAATAACCATGACAAGAATTCTATCAAAGTGTCACTGATTTGCTTTCCAATTCATTCTCTGCCCCCTAGTTGACTGATTTTTCTGTACCTCTGCTTAAAATCCTTTTATAGACCCAACTACCCAGAAAAATAGTCTAGATGGCTAAAAGGCCAGGACACACATAATTTCTTATCCCTCTAATGATTATGCTTGTAGCTCTTGGCTTTCTCCCCCTTCCCAGCTATCTGCTTCTGATTAATATCTACTGCTTTTCCCTGAGACGCTCTCTTTGATCTCTCAAGGCTGGCTGGGCTAACATCTCTTTCATTCCACTCTTACGACACATGGCACTGTGCTGTAACTACCTATCTCACTGTCAGTTCCTAGTCACTTGACTACAGTGATTCTACCTTGTATCATTTGATGAAAAAATTAACATGAATTGCTAATTGGCAAAGATGAAGCAAGAAATCCTGTAACTGAAAGCAAAAACACACCGATTTTTAGGGCAAAGGACTTACTTATAGGAAACCTTTACATGAAAGAAATGTCTTGAAAATACAAAGATTATAAGTACCTTAGAGTTAGAAGGTAACTCACAATGTGCCTGGGTTGAAGGTCCTGAGATGATTTATAAAGTACCTCATCAAACCTAGAAGATGACAGGAGCAGTTAGCAGAGACAGACTTGTGCACATGTTACACTAGGTTGAAATGTTAGGATGTTAAAAGACATTGGATGTAAAACTGACTTCACATCATATTAATATCCTTCAGAACTAGTCCAGAGTAAAAACTTAAATTATGGCTGTTAAAATGAATGTACAAAGGCTAGCAGAGTGGCTCAAGCAGTAGAGCACCTGCCTCACAAGCATGAGGCCCTGAGTTCAAACCACAGTACTGAAAAAAAAAATGAATATACAAAGTCTCCAACCATGCTGAATAACATAATTTACAAACTAGCAAAATCTACCTTAAAGGCTAAGAAATCAGGTTGGTTTTATCTTGTCTCTCAAATTAGCTGATCCCAGGAAAAGAACCACTGACCACTGATAGCAATCAAAGAAAGCTTCCTTGTTCAATAACCACCCACATCCTTTTTGGATACTAATCTACTGAGATTAGTCTACAAGATGTAGTCTCTTGCCACGTGTCATCAGGCAGACAGATGTATTTTGAGACCATGCACTGAAATCACAAGGCAAGTGAAGGAAAGTTGGTATATGGAAATGGTGCACAAAGGCAGGGTTTTTCAGTCTTCCTTATCACAGAGAGCAAGAGATGCTTTTTCCCAGAACCCAAAGCTTATGCTTTTATCAAGCTTTACCAGACAATGGACTATAGGAAGCAAGGAATCTTTGCCTACTTCAGTGGTGATAATATTTTCAAGACTCAAAGACTGATCTTGAGTATCAGCCTAATCTGACCTCTATCTGCCCTCA